GTGGATGGAACTGGAGGGTGTTATGCTGAGTGAAATAAGTCAATCAGAGAAAGACATGTATCATATGACCTCACTGATAGGAGCAATTCTTAATCTCAGGAAACAAACTGAGGGTTGCTGGAATGGTGGGGTGTGGGAGGGATGGGGGGCTGGGTGATAGACATTGGGGAGGGTATGTGCTATGGTGAGCACTGTGAATTGTGCAAGACTGTTGAATCACAGATCTATACTTCTGAAACAAATAATGCAACATATGGTAAAAAAGAAAAAGAAGAAGAAGATAGCAGGAGGGGAAGAATGAAGGGGAGTAAGTCGGAGGGGGAGACAAACCATGAGAGACAATGGAAAAACAAACTGAGGGTTCTAGAGGGGAGGGGGTGAGGGGATGGGTTAGCCTGGTGATGGGTATTAAAGAGGGCACGTTCTTCATGGAGCACTGGGTGTTATGCACAAACAATGAACCATGGAACACTACATCATAAACTAATGATGTAATGTATGGTGATTAACATAACAATAAAAAATTTTAAAAAAAGAAATAAAATGGTCAATTTTCACTATTTGTTCTATGGTCAGAGAGGCATTCAAATTCAAGTCTCCATATCACATACTTGAAACGTGATTGTGGCTCACTGCAGGCTGCTGCAAAAATTCCAAAGTCATCCATTTTTCAAAATTTCAACCTACCAATCCATATGACATGATACCCACTGTGGTATATCCTCTCAGGTTCCCATAAAACCCCCTCTGCAGACAGTTTCCATATACAGCATTCGTTTCCTATGACTTTTCCAGTGGGGACTGATTCATTGCCATGGGAATCTGCCCTAAGAGCAAATGTTAGCCAATGATGGATTGGAGTTAGTGAATGATTACAATTTGCTTGCCCTTTGGCATGACAATTCTCTCTGAAGGTCCCCAGGGAGCTTCCCCAGGTCTCAGTAGTCTGATATCTAGCTTACTTTTCATTGACTTTCTCCCTTTAGCATCTTACCTTCCCATTCTCTCAGAGTGCTTCCTGTGATCAACTCTCATCTAACCACTTGCAATTAAACTCTTTTCTCAGGGTCTTCTTTCGAGAGAAGAAACACAAATACTGAGAACTGATGAACTAGAATATTACTAAAGGCTCCTAAAGGATCTTTCAGATCTAACTGCCCTCTCTTGCCCCTCCTATCTGTTTTATATTTTACCTCTAGATTTTTCTTTCCAAAACTCTGTTGACTCACGCTCCTTAGAAATCCTCAGTGGCTCCCACTGCAATAAGAAGTAAAACAAAATTCTGCCCATCAAAGTCTGCCTGTATTTCTACCTGTATGTCAGCCTGCATTTCCTACCACAAACACACTGCAGACACACTCCTCTACTCATTACTGACATGAAGTATCTTCTCTTGTGTTTTCAATATGGTTGTCTCCTCTGCTGTAATGCCCTCCCCACCATATTGGCTAATAAATCCCAGCTTATCCTCTGAGGTCTAAATTAAATCCATTATCCCCTAAAAAGACCTTTCATACCCCCCAGTGTTAGGGTTAATATTTCCTGCTACCATCCTCCCCAGTGCCATGTTTAAATTTTGGTATATCAGAGTGTACCTTGCACTGAGATGATTTATGGATATGTATTTTCACCACCATATATGAATTCCTAGTAGGCAGCAGCCATGATACCCATCTTTGTATCCATGGCTAATATTCGAAATGATTAACAAACCTATATTCTAATCTGCCCAATGAGAAAGGACACCAGATGAACGTCCTGAGGCACCCAGATGAGCCATGTTTTAACCCTTTAGTTGCTGCTGGCTTGTTGGGAAGTCCTGGGGGGCCTGTGGGAGGGGCTATGGTGGCTATAGTGGTTAAGGGTTTTACTACAGTGGAGCTCAAACAATTGAGTATTTACCAACATATAAGGAAAAGCATCTGTTACAATATTTTAAGAAATAGGGCATAATTGGTTGGACGTCAGCTTTGTTCACAACTACTATAGTTATCAAGGCTTCCCAAGTTATAGGCCTTTTGTAAATAATTGTTATATAATTAAGAACAGAACTGAAAAGAAGCACAAAGTTTTTTAAAAAGACCACTGATACATACATGCACACAGATACACTTCTTTAACCAGCACAAATAGGAATATTCTCATGTACATATGAAAATGTTATAGTCTGTTTTTTTAATCACATTAGGTTAACAGCTGTTCAGAAGGCAATTACATTTACACTGTTTCAAGTATTGTGTAAGTTTTCTAACAATAATATCAATAAAAGTGTACTTAGCTTTCTTTACAGGCTCACCTTCTCCAAATCATATCAACATTAATTTACCTCTAAGAGACTACTGCCCTGGAAAGAGCAATCATGATAGCATCTTGCAAATATTTTTCAAAATTATGAAGCCTGCAAAACCTCTTGTGTAGCCAGAAACATTTACTAATTCATCCCCAATTAATGATGTACCCGGAGCCACCTTTAACTTCCCCAAATTTCTTCTAAAGTCCTTCAAACCAGCATTTTAAATGAGTCCATATCTGTTCAGTGAAAATATGTATTGAAATTTTATGATCTCCAAAAGGCTGCCAAACTAACAAAAAAATGACTATACAAAAAAAAGACATATTAAATATGAGTACTTAATTATTCTTAGCTCCATTTCCATAACTTTAAGAGTCTGCTTCATAGACAAGGGGTTTTGTTTGTTTAAGGTAGTCATACACATTTCTAATACAACAATGTTGTGCAGTTTGAGGTTCCTCGTATGTTCTTTCTCATACATAGCAGAACCCTCTCCCTTTTGTAGAACAGGAAACTGAGATGTAATATGTTTATCAAAAATAATGGCAAATCTGAATGATTCGTTGCCCTTTACAAAAGACTAGTTAACATTCTGAAACTAAGGGAAATCCACCAGTAGGGCTGTCATTTGATTATTAAAATGAGAAGTGAACTTTAGATTTCTTAAAATCAATTCAAATCTTCTGAATTACATAAAAAAAGACAAAATAGGTTAATTTATTGAAATACTAGGAATAGGTTCACTATACCTCAAAATCTACCCATCACATGGAGAATTATTAATTGGCTTTGCAAAGCCAAATGTCTGAAAATTGGTGGGAAAATTTCGGAAGATGCTAATAACTAAGACTGGTGATACGTGAGGTCAAGGCCACTAGAACAAGACAATGTGGGTCGGCAAGTTGGTTCTTGCTTTACAGCACATTCTGTTCCAGTGGTATTGAATGGATCACTCTGTTTGCCATTCTGAAGTTTCCCTTCTGCTTATTAATAGCATTGGCATGCTAGGTATAGATCCTTCTATGCTAAGGATAGACCCTTTCCTAAAACATTTTTGTTGAGGCAAACAGGGTTGAGACACTAGTCCTCCTAGGGAACACAAGATTGCTACTAGGTGTATACTTACAACACTTCTAAATTATATCCATTTACCTACATTATGATGATTTCCTCAGCAGGATCCAACCACCATGGGGCATTTAATTTTCTCCCAAAGAGGACAACTTATTCCTTTGATGAACCACAGTTCCTCAGTTCTTCCCTATGACTCTTCTACCTTCTTAAGCACCCTCCCTTCAAAAGTTTATAAGGAATACCCCTCAGCACTGTTCCCATGCAAGCAATTCTGTTCAGGAACCATCAGGGCAATTTGTACAAATGAATGCTTTATTAGAGACAAAGGAAAGAAACTTCACACACCAAAGACTTTAACCTATTTTTTCATGTGTTAATTCAGCGCATATGCTTGTTTTTAAAACACCTATTCCCATAAACAAACATTCTCATAAGAGGCTGCCTGGCTCATAAATTGGTGTATTTGAAAGTATCAATCACAATTTTAAATGTAAATACCCTTAACTAAATATTTATACTTCTAGAAATTTGTCCAACACATACATTCAAACAAATGGCCAAGACAGTATAGCACAAGACATAAAATGTATGTCCCAAAGCTCTGACTGAAGTAGGAAACTAAACTTCCCTCTGGGTCATTTATTAGAAAGGGGAAATGTAAACTATATTTTTTATTTCTTCTCATGATGTATCTGTTCTAGTGTGGTGGTTAATAATATTTTACTAATGGTTTTCTTACCTTTGAACACACCACGTTTCCAAGGGGATACATGTAGAATATATGGAACTGTATTATCAGGGTCTATGGTGATGTATGGGTTTCCCCACACCATTGGAAGATCTGAAGTTACCTAGAAAAGAGATTTCAAAGAATTACATAATGTCAATATTTACATGAAATTTGTGTAACAAGCTTAAAGCATAGAAAAAACTGAAAACTTAAATACTTCCATTAAAAACTCTTCACCTTTAAATGAAAAGCAAACCAGAAAAACACCACATACAGTAAAAAAAAAAATCTGAGGAGAAACCTCTGAAAAAATAGAACAAAGAAAATGATTCTTACAAAAAGAACAATGCTTATTTTCTGTTGCTACTTGTAGCAAGATCACTGATGCTTAGACAACTTGAATATCTTTTATAAGCCACGCATAATTTTCTTTATGCAACTTGATGTGCAAAGGATGAACCATTTCAATGAATTCTACGTCAATATTAATACAGCAAATAAAGAATATTTAAGCAGCATTTGACCATAACTCTGGTTAAATCCAACTTTCAGATCACTGAGTGCTACATCTCACTACCCACCACTGTCTACGCAAACAGTGATCTACTTGGTGTCGACAGGAGCAATTCATAGAAATCATATAACATGTGGTCATTTGTGACTAGCTTTTTTCACTTAGAATAACGTTTTCAAGGTTCAACTGTATTGTGGTATATATCAATATATCATTTCTTTTTTTTTTTTTTTTAAAGATTTTATTTATTTATTTGACAGAGAGAGACACAGCGAGAGAGGGAACACAAGCAGGGGGAGTGGGAGAGGGAGAAGCAGGCTTCCTGCGGAGCAGGGAGCCCGATGCGGGGCTCGATCCCAGGACCCTGGGATCATGACCTGAGCCAAAGGCAGACGCTTAAGGACTGAGCCACCCAGGCGCCCCAATATGTCATTTCTTTTCATTGACAAATGATACTAACTTGTATGATATGCCACATTTTGTGTATCCACGTATAAACTGATGGAAATTGGGTTGTTTCCACTTTTGTCGATTATGACCAATGCTGCTATGAAAACATCTATGAGCTTTGAAGTGGACATAGATGTTCAGTTCTTATGGACATAGATGTATCTAGGGGTGGAACTGCTGAAGCAAATGATAACTCAATGTTTAAGCTTCAACCTTCAGAGTTACTGCTTTCCAAAACTGTTTTTCAAAGTGACTGCACCATTTTCTTTTACCAACAAGGCATAATGGCTCCTATTTCTCTACATCTTCTCTCAAAGTTTTTACTGTCTTTTTGATTATACCCATCCTAGTAAGTGTGAAGTGGTATCTCATTGTGATTTTGATTTGCATTTCTCTAATGGCTAATATGTTGAGTATCTTTTCATGTGCTTATTGCTCATGTGCCTACCCTCCCTGGGGAACTATTTATTTATTTATTTTTAAAGATTTTATTTATTTGAGAGAGAGAGATTGAGAGGACGAGTGGGAGGAGGGGCAGAGGGAGAAGCAGACTTCCTGTGGAGCAGGGAGCCCGACGTGGGACTCGATCCCAGGACTCCAGGATCATGACCTGAGCCGAAGACAGTCGCTTAACCAACTGAGCCACCCAGGCGCCCGGGAACTATCTATTTAAACTCTGTACGTTTTGGGGTACCTGGTGGCTCCATTGGTTAGTGTCCGACTCTTGATTTTGGCCCCCCAAGTTTTTTATTGAGTAAATACCCCTCAAATTGTTTTAAGTTTTTGTTTAATTTCAAGGTCTGAAAATTTTCATTTTGACAATTTTTGCCAGTGTTTTATTGCTTTTGAGGTATGCAACTCCTTGCTCTACCATTCTGGAAGTCCCCTATCTGCTGTTTTCCTCATTGCATAACGATTTTCTACTACTTGATCACTTGGATAAAATGCCACAGCATTTTACTTGTATCTCAATTACGTTCTCTGATATTTTTTATTTTCTCTTTCATACTAAGGAAGTCCCAACCTTCTGCTGAAAACTATTCTTGTAGCAGTAAGATGAACTATAACTTAAAAGGTTTTTTAAAAAGGCATAACAATGACTACTAGCTTCAGTGCCTGGGTGGCTCAGTGTTAAGCATCGGACTCTTGATTTTGGCTCAGGTCATGATCTTGGGGTCATGAGATTGAGCCCTGTGTTAGGCTCCACAGTGGGCATGGAGCCTGCTTAAGATTTTCTCTCTCCCTCTTTCCACCCACCCAATTGCCGCTCACACCCTGTCTTTCTCTAAAATAAAAAAGACTACCAAAGCAATGAAAAAGAGAACAAAGAAAAGATATGAAAAGAATATACTGAGTTTGAGGTGTTAGCAGATTGTCAAAGTGCAGGTGTACAACAAGCAGTCGAGACTGAGGGACTGACATAACACATACATCTTGAATAAAGTGTAGATGTGGCATTTGTACCTTGATGAGAGTTTGAAGCCAAGAAACTGCCAGGTGAGATGTTGTAAAGACTTAGGAATACTTTTGAAGATGGAAACTTGAAAAGACATCAGAAGGTTAGAGGGATAAAAGAACCAGATAAATAATAATCAAGAAATGGCAGGGAAATGAGGAATACAGAATGATACAAAATAAAAGGTGAAGAGTGTTAAGAAGGCAGACAGACACCGTCAAACACCACAGGAGTTTTGAGGCAGATACGTTGGCAAAATAAGTGATTTTCTTGACCCAAAGTCAAGGATGATCTCTGTGGCAGGAGTTTCATAGCAGAGTAGAAGAGCTATAAACCACCCACTGTAAATTAAGAAGTGATCATGTAATCATCACTTTTTCAAAAAGTTTAGCAATCGTGGACAATAAACATGATAATAGTTGAAGAAGGAGTAGTATAAAGACAAATTTGCTCTGCTAAATTTGAGAATATTCATAGATTATAGATTAAGGGAAATAATTCCACAAAGAGGAAGATACTCAAAGAGAGAGGAAGAGCAGGGGAAAAGAATGTGAATCAGTCTTGAGTGCACTGAGGTAAACTTCATTTCACAGATGGAGGAATAAAGATGGAGAGTCAGAAGCATTTCAGTGGTACTAAAGCAAGAGTATGATGAAAGCTGAAAGTATAAAGCAAAGATTCTCAGCCCAGACTTTTTCCTTGATGATACCTCAGTTGTTTCTCAATAGAATTTCTATTGAAATACAAGCAATAAACTTGTATTATGTATTATATTGTGTATTAAATTACGTATTAAATTAAATGATGTGAAAGGGCAAATTCATAAGGCTCATTATTCTGTGCTGATTAAAAACAATAAATTTCAAATTAAGAAAGGAGATACTGTACCTATTGATAATATCTCTAGGAACAAATGTTCCTTAAATCTTAAATACATTTCTGTTCTTTTATAATTGTTGAAGCTCTTTAAATATAAAAATATGGAAAATCTTCCTTGAAAAACTATTATGAGCTTGACAATATAATCTATGCTGGGTATAAATGTGGATAAGAGAGGCACGCCTCTTTTCTCAGTTTATAATCTGGTGGAAAACAATAAAAAGGTAATAGCAATATGATATAATACGTTTGATGGCGGAAAAGGTAAAAAAAAATATATTGTGGAAGCACACGAGAGACATCTAATCCCTAATTTTATAATCCATAAATTTTAAAAGCTGTTCAAAATTTTTTTGAAAATACCTTTTATTATCATTCTGGGAAAGTGGCCTCTAAGACTTGCCCTGAAGAATTAAAAGGAGCAAGACAAACACAGAGAAATGGAAGACAGGGAGTTGGGTAGAGATTTCCAGACAGGAGCAAAAGTAAATACTGTTTACAAAGGGCTGAGTGCTGCTGGAGCCAAGAGTGGCAACAGATGAAACTGAGCAAATGAGCTTTTAAAGGACAGCAAAAGCCAATTCAGGGAGTACGGATTTGATCCTGAAGGTAAGAAATGATACTGACAAGTTTCAGCAGGGGAATGACAAGATGAGATTTTCGTTCTTAATATGCACTCCATTTGCCATCCAGTAAGGAGAGAAGAAAACCAAAGCACTTATTTTTTCCAGGATTACAAAACAACAACAACAACAACAACAACAACAACAACAACAACAAAACCCAGAGGGTAAACCTAGAGAATTTCCAAACTTCTGTAATACCCTCTGAAACTCAGACAGCTATGATCAAATAGATACGTGAAGCTTCTTTGAAGGATTCTATTAGGTACACAACAATTTGTAGATAAATGTGGGAGTGGGAAGTGGAAAAATGTATTTTAGGATTGGCTTAAATCAAATGAGGAAAGCCAAGTGTAAAACTTCATAAAAAATAAAGATGTAAATAATTATGCACTTCTTCACATTCCCACTATTATTGACACTGATAAATGATAGGATATACTTTTGAAATTTTATGTCTACAGATTTCACATTAAAATTTTAAGAGCTGTCGAAAATACTTTTGAAAATGCCTTTTATTATCATATATAATTTATTCAGGTGAAAATACATGATTCAAGTAAGTAGCTTTTAAAGTGTTTTATGATTATATACTAATACTTAGATATAAAACTTGTTTGGTGCTATTTCAACTTTACAAGTGAAATGAAATTTAATAGCTGTTGGCCTAACAAAAAGTAGAATTCTAAACATCTCCTTATGTGACACTTCACCTAGTTAAGTAAATGTTTTTAAAATTTCATATAATTCAATATAGTCCTTCTTAAAACAATTTCATCCCTAAGAAAAAAAATCTTACCTTAAATGTTTGGATGGTCTTTGTATAATTGGGCACCATTATGGGTTTATTTGTCATCTTCCCTACTTGACAGTCTATAGTGATATGTTCCAAGGCCAGGGGTCTTTTTCCAATCCCTTTTATGTCAAAGACATACTCCATACCATCTACTTCATTTTGTAGAGTAAGTCTGCCCTGTGACAAATCAGCCAAATTTCAGCTCTGTAGGAGTCACAGTTGGATGTCAAACAATCTCTGCTATCCTATTAACTTTGAATCTGATTAATGAAATGAGCTTTCAAGGAGGTGTCAGTCACTGACTTTTCTAGCTTATGTATAAATACTTCTACTGAATGAATAAAGATGAATTTCCTGTGAAAAGCTCTGTATTTCTCTTTGCTTTCTCTAAATGACAGAGTTTATATAGGCATTCTCATACATAGCAATTATATGCGTTTTTATGTCCTTGTCAAAGAAATATGTCTTAAGAAAATATTCTCTGAAGTACCAACTACCTTAATGAATAAAAACAAAGGAACAATGATTTTACTTTGTTAAACGTGTTATGTAAAAATAATCTTAGACATAAGTACTGGCAGCCAATGGCATTGTGAATTCAGAAATTTTATCCCTCAAGTTAAAAGATTTATTAAAGTTTCAAGCAGAGCGAATACTAATAATCAAAAGCATAGAGTAGATAACTTTTTTGCAAAAAGGTTTATCATAAATTATAAAGGTTAATATCATATATCAGTTTATTGACAAATTAATACTAGGAAAAAAAATCAATGAGTTCATACCATAATCTCACATTCCAAAATAGGTTTGAATGTAAGGGGATACTGCACAGTTTCACCTGGTCCAACATATAAAATAGAAGGTCCATAAAACCATTCTCCTTCTATAGTAACTTGCCATTTCCATTCGTTCTTTGTTTTATTACTCTAAAGTATGAAAAATAATATAGAAAAATATCAGAAGGGTGATGTTGATGAAGCTGAATTACGTATTAATTCATGTTACTTTTAATAAAATTATATATTGTATTTTAAATTCCATTTCATGAGAATCACCATTTGAAAGTCATAGTTGTTAAGAACAACTATCAACAATGTGAATATGCAGCATAAGGATGACTATGTATGCTTTCATTGTCATATAGAAGCATTGTCTAATAGGTTGATCCATGGGTTATTTAATATTTAAAGAAATATTTGTTTGATTAATTACTGTGAAAATTATAAACTGGTCTTAGAATTACACATTCTACTCCTAATTATGGGCAATCTATCTGGTAGATTGCTCAGATAGCAAAGCTTACACATCTCGTCAGAACAAATTTTTGTGCTTTGAGCAGACTTTTCTTAAATCTTTAAAAATTAAACAAACAAAACCAATTTCTAGTCTAGAAAATTCAACATTCCTTACAAATATATTACCTTCTTCTATGCTGTAGTGTCACTTTGAGAGCCAAGCTACAGCCAGTCATTGTTCTTAGTGCCCATGAACCCATCTTAATTGTGAAGATCACAACTGAATTTGAAGCAGAGATTCTCGAGATCCTAACTGCCTGGTGGAGCCAGGAATTCCCTTTTGAGTGGGAATGTGATGATAAGTTAAGGAAGTTGGAGTTATTTTTTGAAGGAAAGAGATCCAACAGAAGTGATTAGTGCGGTACGTAACATGGTACATTTATATTGAAGAATAAAGCTCTGTCCTCAATGTGGAGAAATAAATGGCAGCAGATAATGCAATTAGAAATTGTAATAGTTCAAAATGAGAGGTTTGGAGAACTTTAATTGAGACAGTGGCAGTGGGAATGGAGAAAAGTAGCAAAAAAAAAATAAGTATAAGTACCACTTACTATTGGAATATGTTGGGTAAGAGCTTCAAATGCTGGTGTTTCAAATTCAAACCTAGCCTCTGGATGTTCTTCATTTACCACACCTTCAATGCAATAGACACGCACATCATACTGTGATATCAGCAAAATTTTACAAGGGTAGCGTCCAGGACTGATAGGAACAAATCGTAAAGGAACTAGAACAGATCCATCTGCAACTATTAAAAAAATGTTTTAAATAGCTTAGTTATTTTTGGTGGCATAAGTCCTAAAATTCATTTTGGAGTAAAGCAATATTTAATACTACTGTATTTAATTATATTGTATAATCTAGAAGAGACTAGCTTATCCTGAAGTAACACATTACCCTTAAATCGCCAGGGCATAACCACAATAACAGAATATATCTTGTGCATAGGTCATAGGAAGGTCTACTCCATAAAGTCACTCAGGGACCCATGTTGTGAAAGATACCACTACCTTGCAGGTGTACCATCAGGGACACCTCTCTTCCTCTGTTGACAGGTCAGGGGAAGAAAAGTGGCTAGAAGCTTGCTCAAGGGCTTTCCAGTGCTCAACTTAAAAGTAATACACATTACAGATGACCCTTGAACAATACAGGTTTGAACCACGCAGGTTCACTTATACGTGGGCTTTTTTCAATAAACACAGTACATTTTCTCTTTCTTAGGACTTTCTTAATATTTTCTTTCCTCTAGCTTACTTTATTGTAAGAATACAGTATACAATACATACAGCATACAAGCTGTGTGTTAGTCAACTCTTAATGCTATTGATAAGGCTTCCAGTCAACAGTAGGCTATTAGTAGTTAAGTTTTGGGGAAGTCAAAAGTTATATAAGGATTTGTGACTGTGCGAGGGGTAGGTGCTCCTAACACCTGTATTGTCCAAGTGCCAACTGTACATTTAATTGGCCAGAACCAACCACATGGCTCTATCTAGCTGAATGGGGGCTGAGAGACAGATATATGGAATATTTGGTGAGCATTATTGTTTGTTACTTTTCCATGACTTAGGGGTACTCTGTCCCCTAGTAATCAAAATAATTTGCAGCTTGACCAGCAGATGGAAATAATTTTTCCATAGTTAATAACCAAGAGAAGCAGAGGTATGCCCAATTAATACTTCTTATATCACCTTGTTATACCATTAACCTTAAGTCAACAGCTAATATCAGTTCTTACAGTAGGCAGACTATATATATCAGCCTTTCCTTCTAAGCAACACTAATTTTTTCTCTGAAGGTCACCATTTTCTTATTTCCATGAAATGAGAAAATAGTTATAAAAATCTCTCAATGCTAAAATAGGATGTAGTATAAGAGTTTAATGCACATTTCACTGCTAATGGCAAATTTTTAAAGTAATAGATAAAAAACAAATGATAAAAAAAAAGTTCAAAGCCTGATTCTATATGAGGAATTTCTCTGAAACCAAGAAAACAAATCAAGCCTATCAGTCTATGGACCAGACAAGTAGTATGACATTAATTAGCTATAATTTTAATTCACTCACATTTAGCACCTCAAATGTTAAAAATGGCAAACCTGTTTTCAAGTACACTGAAGTTTATGCCAAGAAAACCAGTCACAACTGCAAGAACATTAATTGCCTTAAATCATTTTAAAATCAAATTAAGGATTTGTATATGTGGGTTACCTGTTAGGTGTTATATATTATAAAAACATATTAATTACCTATTATATAGCATGTTGCATATTGTATATTGCTATATGTCATATATACTATATATAATGTTAGTATTATACATTGTATATTAAAACACACTGACAGTGGATCACATTTGAAATCTATATTACATCTAACGGAAGTTCAAGATTATCAGCTGGTCTAAAGAGAAAATAAAGGCTGTCAGAATGTTATTTTTATTCCATCCTATTCAAGTACAGATTTAATTTTAGAATAAAATTTTTTCTCGTCGAAAAGGACTCCAGGCACATTTTATCATCTGTTATTCATTGATTGTTTTCATTCTGAGAGAATTATTTGAGTTGTGGCAACATCATTAGAACAAACCAGGTGAGATAATCATCTGATCAAAATTTGTTGCTTTATTAACAGAAATAAAGAAACCTCATTGTTCTCTTTCACAAACAGATTGAAATGAAAATATTTAGATTAGGTAATTTAAATAAAATTAAACTGCTTAGAATAGGAAATTTAAGCAACTCCAACTCAACAGTAATTACTATTCTCATCAAAGATAAAGAATCACTAGCCATTTAATAGTAAACAATAATTGAAATGCACAAGTCCTAGTATAAAGCTTCTATCAGAAGCTTTATGTTCTACACTATTTCCCTTTTCCTAAAAATATCCACTTCCTAATGATAGTGAGTCTGAAAGTGAAAGCCAAGGACATTCTTCAGTGTACACTTTCCAACTCATGAAATGTTCATGAGTAAAGACCCTAAGGAATGCACGGTGCCAGCCTCTTTCTTTGCCAGTCCGAAAAGGAATCCATCGTAACAGTGGAGTTCATGGTAAGATAGTTCTATTTTTGAAGATGTACTGATAAAATAATATGCATCGTTTCTTAAACATCCAAAATAATTCGATTTGAGTAATAAACATAAATAGGAGTATTATGATCTATTATAAATAAGAAGCCACTTCTGTTTCTGCATCCCTTCAGATGTAAAATAGCAGCTGTAGAAACCATTTTGATCTTTAGAAACTTGGAACTTTTACTGGCCACATTATGCCATCATACCATCATTGTCTTTTAGGGGCAGGTTTTCTCAAAGTCCTTCCCGAATCTGCACTGGAGCAGATACCATCCATGCCTTGCCACATCCCCTGGGCATTTAAGTCCACCCTGAAGGCAAATGGCTTTATGGAAAACTTCTTTCTCTCTGAGGGCTTTCTCTGAGCATAGGAGGGTACTCAGCCCTCATGTGGATCAGGCCAGAAGTGATAGTTCATGCCTACCTTTGCAATCCTCAACAAATAATGTATCACATTGGTAGAAAATTAACCCAGGGTCTTTGACATTTAGTAGGGATAACCCTAGGTGAATTCTACATGAGCTCCTAGAGATCCCCAGTGCAACTGAGCCCAAATTGTTAACAGTGGCAACTGCTCATTAACATTACCTGAATTGGCTTCTCCTTGCTCTCTCACTCTCACAAACTCCTACCTATGGTTCCTAAGATCACCTCTCAAACTACTTGCTCGCAAGACCTAGTTTCAGGGTCTGCTGCTGGGGATCCCCCAACCAAACACACACCATTAGGCCCAAGAAAGAGAGCTTCCTGTCCAGGGCCTCATGCTTTCTAGAGCCTTTGAGTGTCCTCTGTCATTGTGTCTGCACATGCAAGGAGTACATGGGCCCATTGGGACAGGCCTCTAGGCAACCCAGCCCCATCCATGGTCCCAGTTCATGTGATGCCATAATTCACAGTCCAAAGAGTTGGATCCCATTTCCAGGGCTTGCACAGGACTCTTCTCTTTGACAGTCCTCTGACCAGAACACTCCTAGAATTGCAGCCTAAGACGTGGCTATCAAGGGGAAGATGGAGACCAAACTTATTTACGTGGGCTGAGACATCCACAAATTTGTACATGAGAACCCCTTGTTGAAGGAGTGTTGAAGTTGAAGGAAGGAAGAGAACAGAGTGGGCACTTGGCCAGGGCCCAACTATTCTGTGCTATCATATTCTAGTACAAAACTCTGAGGTGGCCCAAAATTCTAAATTCAAACATGGTCTTACAGGTTGGTTTAAAGTTATATTTGTCAAGGTGGAATAATAGAATATATTCTATTTAAAAATTTGTTAGTTTGATTTACCACTTAAAAAATTTAGACATGTGGGGCTCCTGGGTGGCTCAGTTGGTTGGGCGACTGCCTTCAGCTCAGGTCATGATCCTGGAGTCCCGGGATCGAGTCCCACATCGGACTCCCTGCTCAGTGGGGAGTCTGCTTCTCCCTCTGACCCTCCCCCTTCTCATGCTCTCACTATCTCATTCTCTCTCTCAAATAAATAATAAAATCTTTAAAAAAAAATTTAGACATATGGTATATGGGCTTTCATTTGTACTTTTGACCTGGTATCACATATGTTAGGAACAATCTGGACCTGTCCTTTCCATCCCTACTCTACTCAGATGCTCAGATGTAGCTCACCTGGTGCCTTTCCCTCACAGATGCTCCTGGTAACTGTGGCAGTTGCCAGGGTTCTATGATTAAAGATAACCAAATATATCTAAATTTACCAGATTACAGTTACTGAAGGAAATAAAGGAAATAAAGACAGACTCTCTCTAGTGAAAGAATACATAATTTTATATGACATTAGCTACTAGAAGAAGGCAGTGTGCTCTATAGTTTTTGAAATAACCCATAAAAATATGCTGCACTCATATCCTAGGAAAGGTCATGGTTGGCAGAATAAGTCAATACTGCTCTTTTGGTCAGCTATCACTACAAAAACAAACTACCTCAAAACTTAGTGGTTTAAAGAAATGACCATCTATTTGCTCATGAGTCTGTGATCTGACCTCATTCGGGAAGGCGTATCTACTTTATGTGTTATTAGCTGGGCTCACTCATGATTTGGGACCTCAACTAGGAATTCTGGCCAGGAGCTCTCTAATCTATGAGATGAGCCAAATATGTTTCATATAGTACATGAAAAGTACTAGCGGCAAAAGAAAGCCCTAATATACAAATGGTTATCATATATCTGCTACTTTCACATTCCTTAGTAAACCATTGGCCAAAGCAAGTCACATGGCCAAGACCAGGGTCAACAAGGAAGGGGAGACTACATGAAACATGTGTACAGGCAGACGTGATCCACTTGAGCTTTACTGAAACAATTCACCGTATCTTAAGTGCAAAGAAAGACACATGTATAAAACTAGTAAAGTGAGAGTTAAAAATCCCGTTTTCTAGTTTTAGCTCCCTTTCCTATATTGTGTGACCTTGGGCAAACAATTTAAAGAGTCTTTTTTTTAGCACATAAGTTCTTAATCTGGTTAAATTAAGGAGTAAGATTTAATCAGCGGCTTTTAAACATCTTATTTTTTGGCTTGGGGGGGTACTGTGTCTGAAAAATACCTAAGACAGAATTTCAATATACAAATATAAAGCCAAGTATAACCTAGAGTTGATCTGGTTGAAGATGAGAAGCTAGAAGCTTCCATTCATTGCCACAGCCCCCCTATAGACAAAC